AGGTTTTATTAACGTTCATTGGTGAGAATTCTGCTAAAAATATACATTTTATAGAATTGTATACTGGAAAGAAATTAAAACGGCTTCAAAAAGGGGTAATATAAAAATTAAATTAAAACAGTAACCTTAATGAACAGGTGCAATGTCATTGAAAACACTTAAAGGGTAGTACATAGCAAAGGCAGCACATTATTAAATTTTCAAAACATTATACTTTATGAGTTTAATATGTCAAATAAATATATTCGCGAGGAACGGTTGAAAGACTGTTTTACGAAGTTATAATTTTCTCTTACGACTTCATCCAAAGGTTCCTCAGCAGAACATCCACTTCGCTCGCTAAAAAAATATAAAAATGTTTGTATGAATTGTAGAAAACTGTAAATGCAGAGGAAAAACTGAAAAAGCCAACGACACTGAATTGTCATTTCTTCAACACGAGTTCGTGTAACAGACTTCCAGCTTGTGAGCTTACTAAAGCTTACGTTGTTGCTTCAACCATTTTGAATCTACAAATGGAAAATTATAAGAAAGAGTTTCAGTTTCAGACTTGAATTAGTTTTAACAAGCAACATACTTGTGGTAACGGTCCAAAAAAATAGTTCAACAAAGAAAACAAGATTAATATTAAAAAAGTACTGAAGTACAAGCAACTCACCTCGATAGTTTGGATCCAGCAGCAACTGGCCTGGACAGTCAAAACTAGGGATTTTATATACGCGTTTTCCCGCCGTTTTCGCTGCCTCAGGCTGCAATGGCGCGAAATCGTCTGTCACATGCCACGCATGCTATAGTGAAGGTGTCATTCCACAACCCCTCATTCTCATGCTCAGTCACTCGGCTCAATTTGTAACAAGAACACGTGACCAGGAAATGACGGCCTCTGGGGACGAGAATGACAACCCCTCGCCCCAACGTCTTCTCAAACCAACTCTCAACTCAAGTCGTTGTGGGTTTTCCACCTTTTTCAATATATTTTGAAGAATGAGTAACGAAGGAAACAGTATTTTTTATAGCAAGTTGATTAATCATTTTCTATATCTTTTATATGTAAGACAAAGCAGTGATCGAAATTTTTCGGCAACCTGAGTTCGCATGAAAAAGACATTGTAACGAAACTACCTGTGTCCTGTGTAGCCTGTGCTCTCAGCGATTTCAATAGTGATAATGTTTATGAAGTACTTACAGTGTAATCATCCGCATTTTCTATATTTTTTTGATTGAGAACGATAAATTCCTGGTCCAATGACGTGGGCAAAAAGTCCCCGCAAGGGTGGGGGTCATCGTTCCCCGCCTTTAGCTGTAAGACTCCTAAATGAAGCAAAAAAGTGAAAAAAACGAAGCGGTCCAAAACTCAGGTTTTTATAGACGTTTGCTGGCCGTGGGTGGTACTGTTTGTATTTTTTACAAACTTTAGTTGTAATTTTTCCGAGAGAGTCTATATACAAATAGGCCGAGTAGATGGCTTCTAGCGTTGTTAAATCCCCAGTGACAGATATTCTGACCTTTTGGAAGGTACGACCTTCAATATGATGTTTCTTATTCCGGTGCCCCTGGTCTAACGTACAAGTTCACACCATGAATCTTCGGCTTCAAAAGGTAGGTGCTACTGTTCAATAAATAAGTTTTCTCTTATAGGCATAGTGACCTGTATTTCAGACCCAGAGCGGGAGTACCCAGATAAATAGTATCTCAAAATCCCTGAAATCCTATCATTTGAGAGATTGTGAATTTGTGGTATCCTTCAGAGTTGCTAGGTTACTTCATCAAGACTTTTTAAGACACAAAGGCCTCAATAACTTCCACTTCTAATTAGCCATATATTGCCAGTATTCCCTACAAATCCCCGTATACCAATTTGCAGACCAGTTTCCAAGAAAGTTATAAAATTCATTATTACTATTATTGCTAAAACTCTCAGATAAAGGTGCTCAAATCTGGTTTTCATTGACTCTGGGGAACAACCACCAAGAAGCATCCTTTATTTTACTTTTGCTCCCTGGTCTACATCTCCAATACTTTCCTAAGGATCCTTGCTGACCCCAAAAGGGCACATCTCTGAATCAACTCAATGGATGTGTTGACACTTATGGTCCTCAGATTTTCTTTTAACCTCAGCGGTATTGTCCCCAATGCCCCCAGCACTATGGGTATCGCCTTTGTCCTTATGCCCCACATCTTTCGAATTTCTCTCTCGAGATGATATTTTTCTACTTTCTCTTCCTCTTTGGCTCCCACCCTTCCATCATCCGGAATTGCCACGTCTATAATTTGGCAGTTGTTCTCTGTTTTGTCGATGACCAGTAGATCTGATCTCCAAACCTTAATTTCATGGTCTGTTCATATAATAAAATCCCGCAGCATCGTAATGTAATCCTCATTTTCAAGTACATTGTCTGGCACATGGTCATACTACCTCTCATTTCGCTGAAACCCATATTTTCCTGACAGTTCCCGATGGATTGCTTTAGCTATTATTATTATCATTATGGTAATATTTATCAAATCTAATAACTTGGAAGGCCGGGTGTTAGGCTTGGCTAAATCTCTGCATTTATATATATCAACAAAACATGTAATCTGTGTCTATGGGCGAAATGTTTTATAATTTGTAAACCGGAAATGTTAACCGTTATTGTTGTCAGTTGCCTGATGATTGCTTCGTGAGAAGCATGAAACTCAGAGTTGCAGATAAATGTGTTCGAATTAGTCCAACTCTAGAAATCTATATCATATTCACAGCTCTGGCAGCAGTATCGGTTCCCAGCACCTTAATCCTTTTTTTCCCTCACCAAGTTATGAGGAGTTGATTTCTCGCACAAAATTACTTTTGTACAAGATCATGTAGTTTTTCCGTTCAAATGAAACCTCTTTGGCATCTGGTTCTTAATATTTTGGCTGATTAGATCTCTCATCTAGAGGTTTTTGCAGTTAATTTAATTCCCTTATTTGTGAGGTAAGCATACTATTATGACATTTCAAATGGTGCATGGCAGGCTTGGCATGCTGGATGCTATTGTCACATTTCATCAACGCTTCCTCCCCTTTTCCCTTTAAAACAGCACTTAAGGCATTTATTTGTAATAATTATTAGTATACTCCGACAAAAATCTTGGGAAAAAGCTGTGTAATATTCAACATTTGTAGACTTCCTTAATAGTGATTGTTACTTTAATTTTCCATCTGATAATATTTTGTATCCGTTGCCATAATTTGCCATCTTTGAAAAATTGTAATTGAGAAGGGATACCGTATTTATTCGAATAAGCGCCCATCCTAAAGGCAGAAAAAGTTAATAAGCGCCCAGCCTCGAATAAGCGCCCACTCCTCCTCCTCCCAATTAGACTCAAATAAGCGCTCACCCCCAACCCACCCACTTAAGTGAACAAGTTCCAATAAGAGACTTCCCCGAGGACGGAGTTTTCTTCAGAGTATTTTACAGAAACCTTGATTTGTTACTTCTTCGCGTTTTGTTATTGGCATTTATTGTTTTGTTGCAAAATAAGCCCACTTCATTTGCTGAAAATGGTGAACATTTAATAAGCGCCCACTCTCAAGGTCCAAAAATTTAATAAGCGCCCAGGGCGGTTAATCGAATAAATACGGTAATTAACGTAAGCTTTATAGATTCCTTTAGGCCTTCTCACCATTTCTTCCTGCGTTTTTTGTAAATTTTTGTAATTGTGATCGTGTGGCAAATAAATACAAATACAAATATTTTCTATCATCAAGCAGCAAGAGACTAGACAAATGTGGTTGTGTGGTAGACTACAACCCAATACCGACTGGCTGGTATCAGTATTTACAAGTAGGTTATATCGTATTGTGCACCAGTGTGAATAAAACGATCATCATCATCATTATTACTATTATCATTATTATTATTATTATTATTATTATTATTATTATTATTGTAATGAAATCGGGAGCTCCGCTTTTAGGCTTGGCTAAATCTTTCTACTATATATTAGTATACACAGGAAAAAATCCCCAATTCCCAAGATTGGTAAAAAGTTGTTTTCTTCTTGGTAAATCATCTAATTCCCAATTTGATTTATTCTTGAGAATTTGATGTTACCAAGATTCTTCCCAAGAAAAAAGGATATTGGTAAGTATTGTGTACCAAGAAAATACCACTTTATTTACCAACTTCAAAATTTCAACCGTTCTCAGGAACCATCTGAATTCCCAATCTTAGTGTTGGGAAATCAGACAATCCCAAGTTTGAAAACTTGGTAAAATGATCTTTCCCAATTTAATTTGTTCTTGGAAATCTCATATTGCCAATGTTTTTCCCAAGAAAAAAGGAGGTTATTTCAAGTTACATCATACCAAGAAAATACCTACAACTAGAGAAACCCATGAACATACCAATCTTAGCAAAGCTGGGAATTACCAATAACATTTCAGTCCTTGGTAATATGTGATATAAATTACCATCGTTTTACCAAGTAGGAATTACATTGTAACTTGATTATCCCTGTGTTCATACCAGGAAAATACAAAACAGCAACAATCATTATTACCAACTTTAGTCTTTCTTGGGAACATAAAGAAAGAATAACGAATAAAAAATAATGAGAGGCTAATAAAGAAATGAAACTGAAAAGATGAGTTTAATTTCTGCCAGTCGACAATTTTACTTAACTGTATAACATACATAGGTCCGGAAACAAGGATATGCCAGTAGTTAACATTATAATTATGTACTAACCTTTCTCATTCACCTTGCACCAGGTTGCGATCTAGCATGCATTTCTCTTTAAAATGTAAAAATGTTTTTTGACAAACTTATTTCTACAAGTTTGTGGCAAATATTATTAGAATACAACTTTACAGTTTTACTAAATACATAAAAATCTGTTTAATATGCGTTTTGTTTTGTGATGAAAAGCACTGAAAAACCCTTTTAGCCAAAACAACTGTAAGTTTATAAAAGGTTACAAATACAGTGTCCTTGCGTATAAAATGTACACTGTCCTAGACATAGTAGAATCTCATTATACAGAAATACTATCCCTGTGTAGGCAGTCAAAATCGGCATTTTTCAATACGACTCGTTTTTTAAGGAGTAGTTCTTTAGCAAGGATCATAATCAGCTCACTCTTGTCCTTTCCTTTGAAATGTTTGATTTTCATTTCACGGCACAAAGAATTAAGATGTCCTTCTTTCTTGATTTCTTTGGTGTACCCTTTCTTAAAGTAGGCTAACAGTATTGTCTTTGCAGTGCTCAGGGGGACTGTCGTTGCACCATCTGTAAATTAAGTTTTGGGAAGTAGGGTGAATATTCACAAAGTAGAAAAAGTTTGCATTTTGGTACATGTCGGAAACTTTCAAACCAAAAAGGGAAAAACCTACAAAGAATTATTTACAAAAACCGGCAGAGTGCCTCTTTATTATTTTTCAAAGTTACAAGATGGGTTTTTTACACTAACTTAATTTCGACACTCCATAAATTTACCCAAAGTAATAAGTGGGTGACCTATAAAAGGATAAGGGTGCGAGAACTGTATTGAGAACTGTATTGAATAATCATTCTAGATTACCCAGGGTGCGTAGTACACGATAATAATTTATAGACCTAGCGGTAATCCTATCGCTGGATGGTACGCTACTCCCAAGTGCAAAACTACTACCTTTCAGAAATCCTTTTTAGCAGGCCGTCCCACGAGTGGAATGTCCTGGATAACAAAGTAGAAAATTTCCCCACCAGCGACCTTCACACTTTTCCCACTCTGTTGTATCAGTACTATTCTCAACCTTTAGGAAGCTTAAGCAACAAGGACCGCTATGGCAACGGAACGTCTTTTAAGAAGGTACATGTAAAATTGGTCTGTTTCAAACTTTGTTGCATTTATTCTAATGTGCTGAGTTTGTTACATTTGTAAATCGGGCAAATTGCCGAAAAAATAACTTCCTAAGGATAGTATTTAAGCAGGGGTAAAAGAAGAATATTTCATGAAGTTTTTGTCTTTTCTTCTTTTGGGGGGAACATTTATAAACACTGTAACATTAAAAGCTAATAAAACAAAATGAATTACCAGGTAGTTGATGTTCATCTTCAAGGGCATCAGAATTACTATCATCTGTGGTATCTGGGGTCAGCTTATCTTGATCAGAACTCACCTTTCTCTTTCCACGAGATCCACTTGTTTTGCTTTGTGGAGCCTCAAAAGAATGGTCACTATCACTTCCCTCTTAACCACAAATGTTTTTCTCTCCAGACTGTTTATCACTGTCATCAGTGGAGCTGGATTCCTTTGCACATACCAAATAAATATCAAACTTTGAAGGCTACAATGGTCTGACAATAAATAATACTGTAAATCATATCTTTTAAATGGAGCAATTTTTGAGAGCCATTTTAAGACAGGAATTTCTTATGACAGCTGGAAACACGTTTTGATATCCTCAGGGTCGAGTTCAAAAATGCAAAATGGCTTGAGTGGTACTCATCATTTGAAGTCATAAGCTGCTAAAATGTTCAATGAATTTCCTTACCCCTGCATCAGCATAGCTGTAGCCTTCCCGCACCATTCTCCTTCTCTCATCTAAAATTGCTCTTATGTGTCGCCTGAGTTCCTCTAAAATGCAAAAGAAAGTAAATGCCACACCAAATAAATAACAAAGTAAAATTTCTGGGTAATAAGAAGTAGACCTGTATAGGCATTATCATTTAGTATTATTCACTTCAGCTTTTAGTTAAGAGAGGAATACTTCCTGCTTTTGCATAAAAGACTCTCGATGAATTCGTACCTTCATCATAGCCAATCTCAGGTTTTAACAGATCTTTGCAGCTTTGTACAAGGTCGTCAAATTGCTTTTTGACCATGACAATGCCTCTGATGATAGGAATTTTATTCCCTGGAATTTTACAGTGGACCTGCCTCCTTCTGCAGACAAGAAAGTAGCATAAGATCTTGTAATCTTATCAGCTGGCTTTCATTACTTGTAACAAAAGCAGACATTTAAATGTTCAATTATGATTATACCTAAATCAACAATCTTTTTAGCCGTTTATTTATGAATTGTTGTTTAACAAAGGTTACAAAATATTTTTGCTGAAATTTTGATTTTTGGCTCATAGGAAGGGTTAGAGTGTGATCTTCAGGAACGAGCAAGAGAAAATGAAAAAGAGGGAATGTTAGTAGAAAAATGATGGTTTAGGTATCCGAAATTTAACCAGAATGCACTACATACATAACCTGCATGTGAGACACCCCTAAAGGTATCTGGTAACCTTTATTAGAATGTCAACAAACAAAAGTGATTAGAATTACAAATATTCTTGCAGCTCACTCATTCGCCTTAAACTGTGGCATATACTTGTAAATGCTTGTATGAAGGAAATATTTGAATGTATTGTACAAGTCAAGGCACAAAAGAGCTGGTATAGCCACAGCTTTAAGTACATGTATGTCAAGAAAAATGAATTGGCTTTAAATTAGTACCTTCGAAGTAAGTCATCCTTTTCTTGTGGCGACAGGTGAAGGGCAGCTTTCTTTGATCTCAATTTAGGAACTTTTGGCACTTTAATTTCTTTACAATTGCCTTACAGAAAAAAATTACCTTTTACTTTTGCTCATACTTATTATTCTTACCCTGGGTCAGTGACTCTACAAAATGATACTTATTAAGCCATATGTTTTCCTGAGATGGTCATTTTTTGTGATATGAGACTGATTCGCTAAGACTGTTGTTAAATTAGCTTGGCGCCACGATATCATGGTTGAGGAAGTGTTTGGTTTGGAAGCTTGTGTTATTACAGAGCAGAACTTGATTCATGTTGCTGATAATATATTCCATTTTTCATCACCAGATAATTATTGGGTTTTTGACCTACAAAGAGCTGTTAAAAGGTATGTTAACCAGTCAACAAATCATCGCAACATCGAGAAGACATACAGTGACAATGAAACAAGGAGAGAAGTTCTTCAGAATTTGGACATTTCGAGAAAAGGAAAAAATGCAACTGTTTTAACACAAAAGGAAATTGATTCAGCCATCAAAATGAGACAGGTTTCCTCATTAAGTAAAGGCAACTATCTGATTGCTCAGGCACATGACAGTTTGACTGATATTCAAGGTGGAATACTCATTGGTAGTGAAAACAAAGGATTTCAAGAAATTTCTGAATCTCAAAGACATGAAATTTTGCAGGACATTAGAGATTGTGGAGCAGAAATCGAATATTGCTCTTCTCTTTCTGCCACTAAAAGATGTAAAAGCTTTTGAAAGCCTGGAAAAGAACCTAGTGTTCCTGCCATGGTTTACAGAAAAGGAGAAAATGCATTGCTTTTGGTAAACAGTGAGGAAAGAACAGGCAGAATAAGTCACGTTTTCTCAGTAATAATTAACAATAGACATGGCATAGAAAGTGTCCATTTGTTTGTGGAAGTTCAGTTATATCGTCATGTCACAGAAGACAATGGTCACCCAAAATATCATCCTGGAAATCAATGTCAGTGTCTTTGTTTATCCCAAACTATTAAGAAGGTGATTACCATTGATGTCTTCAGAAAGGTGATATTGTATCCAGACCAATCCATCCCTAATCAAGTGGTCTTGATGGACTTTGACATGTCATCTTTACCATCTCAAAAGCAATGTTGTTGTTGTTCCGTTTTACACAAAGAAAAATGATATGGTATTGATTTTAGGTGAAAGTGATGTTCAATGGATAGCCAAAATGATCTCTGTTCAACAGGATGATAAGACAGTTGAACTTCACTTCTTAAGGTGTTTCGATATAGTTTTTCAGAGGCCATACTGGTATTTTTCAACCGGTTTAAAAGTGATGTTCTCCTTGTCTGATCGCTCTAAAATTTTTACCAGTGATTGACTATAGATTGAAATTTGTCAAAATGTAGGTTTTAGTAAAATCGATATTACTATGACAACAATGAACAAAAAACCTTTGAAATTGATTAACGCCTAATTTTGCGCGATCTAGACCTGCTACTGAATATCCAACACTAGGAACTTAAAGTTTGGTGTTTAGCGAATAATTTTTTTAAAATCTCTTCACTTAATTTTCATAATGTATATAATAATGTCTGAAACTTTCATTAAGACTGATTCACAGCAACACCTTGAAATTTCAAGACAAACCTATCCTACGAACCGGTCAAAAATCCGCGCTACACTCATTCACTGTTTTGACGTTATGCTAATTTTTCCAAATTAATGCAGACAATACATATATCCATGGCTAGTACATTTCAGTGTGAGTATTGTCATTGTTTTACATTCAAAAGATGCCATAAATTCAAACTAAAATGTACTAGTCATGGAAGTATGTGTAGTGCCCGTTATTTTGGAAAAATTAGCATAGCGTCAAAGCAGTGAATGTTGTAACGCAGATTTTTGAGCGGTTCGTAGGATAGCTTTGTCGTGAAATTTCAAGGTGTTGCCGTCAATCAATCTTAATCAAAGTTTCAGACATTTTTATATACATTATGAAGATTATGTGAAGAGATTTTAAAAAAATTCGTTCGAGTCGTTTCAGAGATATACAAGAAAGCGCTAAAAGTCCAAATTCTGAATGAAGTTGCACTTATACAGGAGGTGAGAAAACGGGTTAGTTTTCAAGATCGCGAAAACGAAAGTACACCAAAATTTCCTAGCATCGAAATATGATATTAAGCAGCATTCTGATGCTACTTAAGAATAATTTGAGTCATTTATAACGTTTTTATTAAATAATCTATCACGGCTATTGAAAATTTAAGGTTTAAAATATATTTTCGTTTTACTCGAATTCAAACACAGAATTTTTCACTTCTTACGAAGAGTGTTTGCTAAACACCAAACTTAAAGTTCCTAGTGTTGGATTTTCAGTAGCAGGTCTAGATCAAACAAAATTCGGCCTTTATCAATCTCAAAGTTTTTTGTTTATTGTTGTCATAGTAATATGGATTTTACTTAAAACTACATTTTCACAAATTTCAATCCATAGCCAATTACTGGTGAAAATGTTATAGCGATCGGACAAGGAAAAACCCACTTTTAAGGTGATTGAAAAATATCGGTATGGCCTTTGAAAAACTGTATTGAAACGCCTTAAAGGAACATCCAAGATGGCCTGGAGGAAAAAAGTTTATTAGGGAAAATTCCACAATCCACCGCGTACATTTAGGCAGTATCACTTGGGGGCAGCTGGGTAGCAAATGGAATGTGGGAACTAAAGGACACAGTGTGAATTCTAAGTTACATGTACCTGAAGCCTGAATCGGGATGAGCTTTAATCCTCTGCAAAGTTTAACTCGAGACAGACAAAAGTAAATGCTCATTATTTCACAAAACAACATGCTTTATTAGATCATCAATGGAATTACGTGTACAGCTGTATTTATCAGTTGAACATTCTGCCTTGTATTCATTCATTGTGCCAGTTACACCTGTTGACTTGCAAGGCATGGAAAGGTTTTTGCCAAGCAAGTTATTTAGGAGGAACATTCGAATTTTTAGTGTGTAGCAAATCTTTGCATACCAATGTTAATTATATAAGGCTATCTCAAGTTTGGGATTTTACTGTTTGGTTGTCAACATAAATATTTCTAGCAGTAGATTTACTAACAGATTCCCAACTGAGTTAGTTATTTACCAAGGGAAACCAGTTTGGGATTTCTGACATTTTTTCAACATCAATATTCTTTAATCTTTAATTGTGATAATTGCTATTAGTACACTAATCTGGCAATTACCAAGCATTTCCCACTTAAAAAAACAAATCTGGGATTTTGACTTGATCCCTGTTTACCAAGTTTTATCCAATACAGAGAAATATTTAAATTTGGAAGTTAAATTCAAACTCTGCTTACCAAGTTCATCACAACTTTTGGGATTTTAATCTTTGTTGCTAAGCACATAAGAAGTAGTTTTCCCATCATTTTCCCAACTGATTTAATAATAATCCAAGGTTTTAATCAAACTGGAAATTCTGAACTTCTTTTCAACAACACCGATAGCAATATTTCATCAAATTGAAACTTGGCATACCAAGTTCATCCGAATTTTGGGACTTAAATCCTTGTTACTAAGAATTTTAATAGTAGTTTTCCCCAAATTTTCCCAACTGAATTAGGTGCCGTTGAAAATTTAATCAGACTGGAAATTTTGAGATTTTGTGACATTAATACCAAAGTTTTCCCAAATTAAAACTCGGCATACCAAGTTCATACCAAAACTGGGATTTTTATATTTGTTTGTTAATACGTTTTACCAATATATCTCCAATGAAATACCAGATTCTGGACTTAGCTTTTGCTGTTGATCCCTCTTTACCAAGATTTAAGAGTGGTTGTCAGAGAAAACCGGGCAAAATGTTAAAAATGTCAACGGAAGGGGGTCAACAGAATAAGTTCATACTAACAACACAGATAGGTCTGGCATCACTCTATTCGACCCCCTCGGACGCCATTTTTATAAGCAAATTTTCACCATTTTCTGAAACTCACAGAACCCTCAAAATTTAACTAGCGAAGTTTATTTTTTGCATGCGATACAATACATCACAGAACTACTTTCTAAAACCATAAGATTTGTTGAGCAGCCACGGACAAGACTAAAATCTTCTTATTTTATCTGACCTAGACTCATTGTCTGCAAACGAGCAAAAAATCGGACATTTTTGAATTGATCTACAGCGCACAACTAAAACGACAGAACAACTCTGACAGCCAAATTGCAGTCTACTATCATCCATGAAACCAAAACACTAATAATCATTTTGGGCCATTGAAACAGGAAGAAATTAGAAAACTCACATTTGTTATAGTTTCCAAGCTTTTTCTTGCAAACAGGCCGATCCCTTCGTGTTTAAGTCCTCTTCGTGAATTTTCTTCCATATTTCGCCATAAAGTATGTTCAGCAGTTGGAGGAAATATCAAAAAGATCGAAATACTGCCTAGGTTACTTGTTCAAAGGGTAAAAAGTGCTGAACGATAGGATGAAACTAGAAAATAACAAAGCGACACCATCTTGAAAATTCAGCACTCAGGACGGACTGGCACTAGTACCTGCGTTCGATATCTAACACGGACAAAAATTGCGAATTTTACACGAGCACATAGAAAACCAAACCTAATATAGAAATGTAACCAGAAACGCTCGGATTCATGGTGGAATTTTTCTTTATGGAACGTGGGCTATTACGAACTATTACCAGGAGCCTATGGGCTCCTGATTACCAATAAGTTAAAAAACAAAAAACAAACAAACCAGCTTATCAGCGACCTACTCCAGTCTTATTTCTTCTTCAATTACTTCTTTAAATAAATTTAGCTTTAGAAGAACGCCTGATCGCAGGTTAATTGGTGATTAACTGACATTGCTTCATTCTCTCCTCATTTAGAGGTGTCCCTTGAATGTAGATAATATTAAAGATCTATTTTGTCGCTTTATGAATCACTTAACTTCGCTCTCATGCGAGCTAGCTGGACTTGCTATGTGTCAACCTCGCGAGTTTCGAAGCGTGCGGGCTAACTGCGGGCAGTGGATATTGCTTGCTGTAAAATTTGTGATAATTTTTATTACCTACTGTTTATTAAAATAAACATAGTACATGCAGTTGAATCAGTTCTGCGGAGCGGGCACTTTAGGCCGCGAAGCGGCCAAGAGAGCCAGTGGACGACGTACTTTTTTTGAAAGTAAGCCTTCTAACTGATGATCCCATCGCTGTCACTTCGCATTTCCATAAGGCAATAGACCTTCGAATGTTGACAAGAGCTGTCAAAATAAATCATTCATAGCGTTTACCAGAACCTGGTATACCGGAAAGATCCGGAAGGAGCTTTTATTAAAAAGTACCATTAAAGGGGTTTTTACGACTCTCACTCCTCACCCCTTCCCCTCATTGTTTTTCCTGCTCACTTCTTTTTCAGAATGCTCTTTGCACAGTCCACACAAGATAAACGCCACGTTTAGAGGGAACGCGCAATTTCTCTTACAGATTGCGGTACTGTTTGCAGCTCAAAAACTTCACGGTTCCGCCGGTCGCATGTAAAGAAAAGGCGCATCTGTGCAAGTTTTTGGCTGTTCAAAAATTTGTAAAAGGGGTCTGAGTGTTAACTCCAGTTGGTATCTTTTCCATCATATTGATCATTGATAGAAGTCGTACACCTGGACGTTTACAGCCACTAGGTTCCTTTTAGTTTACTGGTGTAGCTGTGAAAGAATTGACATCTCCTACATCTCTTCGCCACTAGATTTGTCGAAAACACTCTCACTACGTTGTTTAACATAAGCAGTCCTCACATTTAGAGAAATTGTCAAGGTCTTGCCTTAAATTCAGAGGAGGCAATGACGACAGAAATGGAATTTATTCATCTCCTAAGGAGATAATTTCCAACGCCATTTCGTTTGTTAATCTTTTCCACGGCGCTGTTGCAAAAAATGCGCGCGCGATTCACACGAGATGGCACAAAATGTGCAAAAACTAGCACATTTAATGGCTATGATATATATTTCAGGGGCAACCAACGACAATTTCCGGAAAATATCTGTTCGGAAGACGATTTGCTATCTAGAATTTTCGGAACATTTCATTGTAAAATTCCTTGCCTCTCCTAGGATTTTCGAACATGTAAAAAATGGTATAATTGCCCATTTTTAACGGATTTTTACCCTTAAAAGGTCACCTAGAATTTTCGGGAGCCTTTTTTCTGGCTGAAATTTTCGAAGAGGTAAGTTTTGATCCCTATAATTTTCGGATTACTAGACTTTCAGCTAGGAAATCCGAACAGATGAAAAATTTCTAGGGGATAAAAATATCCCTATATCTACCGCTTTTAAACGGTCGATATTTAAACGATAGATAAAAATACTAAAATACGTTTAACAATGCTATGTTTAGGTGGTTTTGAACTACCT